ATCAAGGAATAACAAGTGAAATATCCACTAAAGCAAAGCTTAAGTATATAACACCAACAAGTGAATCCCAATTTTATTCTTACTGACCTGCCATAATAAAACACTTATAAATATTCAATGATAATTAATAACAAAATAATTTCCAATCAAACTAAAACAACTTCCCTTAAATATTCTCGCGAATTTCTGAATCCTGTGAACGCCAGAATGTTCATCGATTTATTGTCAATCTTCAGAACTTACACCATCGTTACCAGCTTTTCCGGCGAGCACGCGCCTCAGTACGCCGTGGAACCACCGACCGACCACAGTTCGTGCCACCAGCTGAAAATCGCGACCCACGGCCAGCTACTCGGTCCCAGCTCGAACCCTCCGCGCGCAGCTCTTGTTCACAGCGACCGTACGCCGCTAGCACCCCATAACAGCGGCTCACCGTCCGTAAGCGTCACTCCAGCCCTTCACACGCCCAGCAGAGGTACGACGTCCGTACACCCACGAGCCAATGCCTCCACGCCCGCCTCCAATGCTCAAGCTCGCGCCACCTTGCGCCAAACAGCTCCATAGTCGAGATCTGACCCTGGTAGCCCTCATTTGAATCGGTTGCTCCATTTTTTTCACTCCTTAGCCCGATCTATTCCGATCTACTCATTTTGGAGCGTTTTGAGGTATAATAGCTAAAACTCGACTTTAATGGCTTAGACTTAATAATTAAAATGAGATAAGAGATAATGAAATGTTGATTGAGCGTTTTTTTATTAAATCGAGACATTTTGAGCTCGAAGCGAAATGATCAGATTTTTTATAAATGTGATAAAATGCCGTAATAAATATCATTAAATTCGTCACGTTGACTTGAGGCTTAAGATGTAATCGTATTTAATTTTAGGGCCCGTTTGACTAGCGTTCGAGTGGTTCGAACGATTTGGCCGGTCGTATTAATTTTGAGTTGAACATTAATTGGTCTACTTCGAGATCTGAAGTAAACCGGTGGTAATGGGCTCCAATTTGCTCGAACCATCCCCAAATCGCCTTCAACCGTTGCAAACACTTGCAAGAACTCAACACCGGAAGTGTTTCCGGTGAAGAGCCTCCGCGCTCAAGTCAGTATGAGAGTGATGAAGTGAGCTCTACTCAATAGGAGCACCAGCTGGAAGAAAATAAATTGAGAGAGTGAAAGTTAGGGTGTAGGGTTACCTCACTCCCTTTATATAGGAGTAAAACACTTACTTGAAGTACCCAAAATACCCTGGCCGACTTACTTGAAGTGTTTGAAATGCCCTGGTCGTTTCGCATTCCCTCCACCTCTTAGTCAACATCTAGATTCCTTCTTATCCCATGTAGATTCACCCTTGTTCGGAGGTTTCCTTGTGCTATGTAGAAGTGTATAAGAGTCGTCGGAGCTCTTGGTGCCTCGAGGCAGGATTAGTCGACCTCGCGTATCGTCGAATCGACTGAGTTCGCTTACAAACATTTGGAGACCGCGCTTCGCTTACTCGTCTTTTCAAGAGAAGTCGACTACAGAAGTCGACTTAAGAGAATCTTCTTGGAGCTGCTATCGAGTTGACGGTGATCCTTGGATAGCTCATGAGTAAGGTCGACTTCAGGGAAGTCGACATGCCGATGTCGTCGGTAGTGGTCATTCGGTCGAGTAACCAGCATTTGAACCGGACTATGATAATAAGGCTATATCATCTAGCCCCCC